AGACCTCATCCAAGTGAGATCTTCTGTTTTGTTTTAGAAACAAATATTTCTTTTTTATGCCAAGTGGAGAGAAATGTTTGATTTTCACACACTATTTAAAGACACTTTTGAAAACTGGGGTGAGATATCACAGGTACAAACTAGTTCTAGTGCTTAAACACAGAGATCTTATTTGAGACAGGATATTATCACTGGAATGTATAAGACCTCATCTAAGAATGATCTGCCTACCTTCTTGTTAAGATAGCAAACACTTGGAAGGAAGATACTACTTTTTGTTGTTGTTGGTGGTGGTGGTGGTGGTGGTGGTCATGGGGTTTGAACTTGGGTGCTGTCCCTGAGCTCTTTTGTTCAAGGCTAATGCTCTACCACTTTGAGCCACTTTTCTAGTTTTGTGGTGCTTAATTGGAGTTTAAGAGTCTCATGGACTTTCTGCCTGGTCTGGCTTTGATCATAATCCTCAGATCTCACACTCCTGGAGTAGCTAGGATTACAGGCATGAACCATCAGTGTCTGGCTGTACTACTTTCAAAATCTATTTTCAAATACATTGGACCACTCTCACCCTAAATGTGGCTAGCAGCACTACTAGATAGTATAGATGTAGAATATATCCATCATTCCAGAAAATTCTATTGTAGAAAGCAGAGGAAGGAACGCTCAGATTTTTTTCAGCAGCATCTGCTTGGCTCCTCCAAGAAACTGCCAAAGAGGACACATTGAGTGAGTTGGACAATTAGAGAAGACAAAGATAACTATTGTATAGCCATGAAGCATGTTTCTTCATGGTATTTTTTTTTGGTTGGTCGTGGGGCTTGAACTCTGGGCTTGGTACTATCCCCACACTCTTCAGCTCAAGACAAATGCTCTACCACTTGAGCCACAGCACCACTTTCTTCATGGTATTTTGTATAGAGTATGTGTGAGCATGTGTGCACATGCATGTACATGTATGTGTATATTTGAAGAAATTTCATAAGGACTACAGATGCCCAAGGATATAATAGAGTCAGATTTTTTTCATTTCCTGGAATTCATTTGGCTAGAGTCAGATTTTAAAATGTTAAAAGAGAACTCCCATGCATAGTGAAGTATTTTGCATCACTCACAAAATATCCTTCAGTCTCCAAAAGTGGACTCCCTAGCCAAAATGTGGCCTATGGACCAGCAACACTGCATAATCTAGAAGTTTATTACAAACATGATGTAATGGCCACTTACATAGTAGTTTGTGGAATCTGAGAATTTTCCCATGTGGATTTCTCAGTGCATACCATGTGTTTAGCACCATGCTGTTCTCCCTGACTCTCTTCCCATTCCCTCGAAGCAGATGCTGATGGTAGAATCTCATTTATTAACTTCCAAGTGGTCAAGTTGCTGCTATTGCCTAGGCCCAATGTCTGAAAGAAGGGAGTAAATGGAGCAGAGGTAGTGTGCAATCTCTAGGCAGAGGAAAGGTATAAAAAGAGCACAGACTTTAATGACAATTCTCCCCCAGCCCTTTCTGAAGTCAATAGGTTTCTCACATGAACCAGTAGGTGGCTGTCATATGAAGTGAATTTTAGTGGCCAAGAAAGATGCTGTGCAACAGGCTCTGGTAGCTCATATCTGTAATCCTAGCTACTCAGGAGGGTGAGATCCAAGGATCTCACCAGCCCAAGTAAGAATGTCCATGAGACTCTTATCTCTGATTAACCACCAGAAAACTGGACGTGGAGCTCACTCAATGTGGTAGAGCTCTAGCCTTGAGCAGTAAAGCTCGGGGACAGTGCCAAGACCTGGAGTTCAAACCCCAGGACCAGCACAAAGAAGAAAGGAGGAGGAGGGGGAGGG